TTTCAAACGGTTAAAAAATCCTGTGTACTTTGAGAATTTTTTTTTGGTGACGGATTTTTGCACTTTTTTCCATAAAGGCGTGAGTTTCTTATGAAATAAAATTGCGTGAGGCCGTTCGCAACAAAATTTCAAAACATCAACGCCAGGTTTCGTAAATTTCACTTGTTGTATAAAAAAAAAAAAAACAAAAAGTAGTCTAAAAAAAAAATCTCAAAAATCAACGCGATTTTTTAGCCGGTTGAAACTTGAACTTCATTAGGCTAGAATTGCATGGGCTATAAAACTGCATACCCAAAAATGTTCTAGAGGTTCAGAATAAAAAGATTTTGATGAAAATCTATTGAATTTTCCTTAATTTTTTATAAAAGTTGAAACTGTGATTGGTATGCTTTTGGGAAACACTTGGACGACATTTTTAAAGAGAAATAATAAAACAAATTTGCTCTAAAACATTACGAATATCAAAAAAAAACAACACGTGGTCTTTTGTTTGAGTCACTGTATGTACGTTTGTATGTGTGTAAGTATATATTTACATTTGCATACGCACTACCGCACACACACATTTCACCAATGTCGGCGGAGTACATTTGCGCTTCACTCAAATACATTGCCAGTCCATGTGGTAAGAAGAGTGAAGTACAGGTTGATACCGTTACTGCAACTATACTATCCCAGCAGTAAAATTTAGAGACAGTCTGACAAAGCTCTAGTTCCGAACTACATATCTCAGAACTATCTCTGAACTAGTGGCCAAAATGAATGCAGAGCGGGACAGTTGAAACTTGCGGTGTAAATGTGAAAATGCTGCCTACTCGTACAATACGAAAGTAGCTCAGCAAGAAGGCCTCCGACTCAACCATCGTTGGTCGCGAGTTCAAATCGCGATGGAGGCAGTTGTGAGTTTTCAAATTTAATGAATTTACATTGTTGCGTGTAGCTCACATTTTTTTTCTTTATAAAATATGTAACAAAAATGGAATCTGTGAAAGAAAAGAAAAAACAAAAAAAAATTTACAAAAATCGAATCTCAAATACGTTTTCGTTGAAAAAAAACACTGTCCAAAACGGAAGCGGTTAAAAACTGATTGCAAAGTAATGCACTGGGCGACAATTACCACCGCCAATGACATCGCCGTGTAAAACTGGACAGTTGAAAGCATTGCTTGGGTATTGAGCTAGAACTAGTAATGCCGGCAAAAGGTCTAGTTCCACGCTAGTTCTGAGCTAGTCAGATTTTCTGCAGGGTTGTTTAAGTTTCATTTTTATACCCGAGCGCACTTGTGCACAAGGGTANCAATATTTCGAAATTTAAGGACGCTAATTTACTTAAAATGTATACACCCCGGCTTATCATGTAGCGGTAGCTTTCGGAAAGGTGGAAAACATATATTTAATACTTGCGCCGGGTATTTAATGTTCGGCTCCGCCCGAACTTAGACTTTCTTACTTGTTATATGTATACCCTTTGATGCACGGCGGGTAACTTTTGCATTTTAAGTGGATATTTTGTATGCACAAATATATCATTCGGTTAAAATGTTAATTCAAGTAAAGTACAGTTAGTATTTAATTAAAAGCAGCTTATTTACATTCTACCAACTGAACAATCGTCAATGGTGGGTGTTTGGCTACCAACTGTCTAGCTGCCTAACTTACCGAGTACGGTCAAATATCCAAATACAACTACACCTGCAAACTACCATATTTGATTGGTGGTTTTTTTGTTATCGCTTTTTTGTCTTTTCTTTTTTATTAAGCGCACTTTATAGCTTCATCACTTATCAGTCGACAACACTCTACAGTGTGGTCTACACAAAAATATAAAAAAAATATAAAGTGTGAAACCTTTTCCTATTTTTTTTTTTGGTAGGTAAAAATATACCTAAACATATTCATCGAAATATAAATCGAAAATAATTTATTATTTAGATCAGCGAGTCATCTCCCTATCTCAATTTCGGGTCCATTCTCGATTTCACGTGGAAATTTCTTATTTTCATCCTGGCTTGGATCAACACTATCATTGTAATCAGCTTCATTTCGACGGAATTGAGATCGAAATTGTGAAAGAAATCAATGTGATCTCTACACATTTTTATGCGAAGTTCGATTTTTTTTAAATCTGCACATAGTTCCTAAATAAAAACAACAACCAGCCGTGGAGTAAAAACCACACAAGTCCTTTGCAAACATTGTAGCGGATCAACTGGTTGATGTCACTTAGTTTGTTAACTAGTATGAGACAAAGCGGAGGTTTACCAGCTTAGCAATTTTCTACCACTTTCCATTATGGGATAAACGACATCTGTCTTTGAATTGTGAAGACTACCTACCACTTCTGGGTTTTCAATGCATTATTAATCTCTTAACGGTCTGGATGTTCAAGATAACATGGAAGAGACATTATCTTCCATTTTACAATTGGTAATGCCGACTACTGACTAACAGTGTTGCCCATTGAAAGTCGTGTTGCCCCACACAACAAAGTTTGTTCAACTTGCTAATCGCTTTACGTGATATTGAGCCTTACCGCTTAAATTCTTATCGAACAATGACCGGCACAAACTTGCACTAGTTAGTAATGACTGATGTGATTTGTTCACTTTTAAGAGCTCCCTTGTAGAGTATGTTATTCACCTTAAAAGATACTGCAGTTGGAAGCTACGAGTCTTTTTTTCTTTCATTCAAAGTGACGCTCTCTAATGTGTTTACAAGGTACACTGAACACTTGGCCAGCAAGCTCAACGACCTCCTGACATAAATTTTACGATAAGCTGCCTTAAGTTAGAATAATTTGATTTCCTGTCGAAACAATGTAATACTTTTATCCAGTTCTTTTATTTTTTTTGCCTTTAATTTGCATTATTTATGTGTAGTTTGTATTAGAATAAGCAGAAACCAGTGTTGCCACCAAAATTGTGTTTTTTCTTAATATTCTTCATAATTGTATTTAACGTCGTCATCAGTTATGACTTTCTAAAAACTTATAGATTTAAAACAAAAAATTCAATCAAAGTAAAAATGGGCCTGAGTTTATTATTCCAATACCGAATTTTATTTTTATTAGCACCTTAATATCAAATTTACAAAACTAACTAAATATACACGAAATAAGTCATGCCGATCTCTCATCTACAATACAACACAAAACTAGGATCAAAATACTAAATATAAATATTTTTGATAAATTTACATTGGAGGGTTAAGATAAATATTGGGAAATTGTTCTGTAAAAACTTGGTGGCGCACATTTGCGTACACACTTACTAATCTCATCTCGCAACTCATATCAACCGAAACCGTTGCCATTTTTAATCCAGCAAACATTAAAATAATTATGTTCTTCTGGCAACTCTACTCGTTTAGCACAATTGGCGAAACTTTATTTTCCATTTGCCCGAAAACAGAAATGCTAACATTAGTTCAATTACAAGCCTCGTATACGTCAGGCAACAGTTTATTTCGTGCTTTCGAAAATTGTAACTCTGCAACCTTCATTATACCGAATTTTGTGAATTTAAGCTTTAATAAGTACTACATAGCTACCGTATCGAGTTTTCATTTATTAATGAAAAGCAAAAAAATTAATTTCCTTTTTTCTTTTATTATTTTGACTAAGAAATAAGGAATGCTTACTGCATTTTATTTTTTCATAGCAAAAATATAAGAAAAATTTAACAGAAAACACAATAATATCCGCAAAAAAAACAGCAAAGCTTACATTTAAATTTTCTTTTGGTTACGAAAAGCTGAAAAGTTTAACTAGGAGAATCCCGAGAAAATTCCAAAATATACCGAAAGGTAATACGCGAAGAAAAAGTCTCGAAAAGTCGCGTAAAGCATCACAAAAAATACCGAAAAAACTGAAAATATTTCGAAATATAAAACACAAAAAATACAGAAAAGTCCTGACACGTTTCCGAAAAGTGCTACACGAAAATTCGGTAGACATACTGAGAGGTCTTGAAAATCTTCCAAGATGTTCAGAAAAAAACCAGAAAAGTAACAGAAACCCAGCTAAAAACCCCGAAAGAGCCAAGAATATGGTCGGGAATGTTCCGAAGAGTACCAAAATCGAATAGACTCCCAAAAAAAAACCGTAAATAAAATCCCGAATAAATCTAAAAAAAATCACGGAAAAGTAACCACAAAAAATTCCGAAAAAACTTGAATGGTCCAGAAAAATTGCCGAGGAGTTCGGAAAAAATCCGAAAGGTAGCTAAAAGCCCCGAAATATCGAAAAATAGAGTCGCAAAAATTCCGAAGAGGACCAAAAAATATTGAAGCAAATTGAATAAAATCACGAAAAAAACGTATATAGAATCTCGAATAAATCTAAAAAAGTCACGGAATAATCCCGAAAAGTAAAACACAAAGATTCCAGAAAAAACTTGAAAGGTCTCGAAAACTTTCGAGAAGCTCGGAAGGAACAGAAAAGTCGCAAAAAACCCCGGAAGCTCCAAAAATAAAGTCGCGAAAATTTCGAAAAGTACCAAACAACCAAAAAAATATTCAAACAAATCGAAAATAAAATCCCGAATAGATCCAAAAAATTCCCGGAATAATCTCGTAAAGCAAAACGCAGAAAACACAGAAAAAAATGAACTGTCCCGAAAAAAGTTTTTTTTTTGTCTTTAAAAAGCAAAAAAAAAAAGTTCGGTTTTTTTCAAAAGTCAAATTTTTCTTAAGTCTTCCCTTTTTGCATTTTTTTTCACCATGTCCTTTTAATTTCCAAAGTTAACAAGAGCAATTTATTTCTTGTATCTGATTATACATATATACCCATATAGACACCAACATATAACAAATTTACCTGACAGCATAAGCAAAAAGATCAGTAAAGCACGCCATCGGAAACTAGAAAGACAACTCCCATTAGGCTCTAGCACTTGTGTCGGAAATCCTTAGAAATCGGTGCAAGTAATCCCACCAAAGGTGGACACCACGCAAACGTAACAAAACCCATCCAGAGCTTAAGTGGAACTAGCCTTAGCAAAATGTTAAGGTTTGGAATACAGATCCTATTACTGACACTCGCAATCGCAGCCAGTGCAGAGAGTAAGCAAATCCAAAGTTCTCTTTACAATAATTCTAACCGTTATAACTCTTATTAGGGGACCCTCACGATTTCTCTTTCGAGAGATTGAATCGTAGAAATATGTTGACCAATGGCATGGCTACAGATAATTCGGCTGTGCCCACTGAGGAACTGGATCCTTATTATTGGCGCAAAATGGCGAGTGTCGAAATTCAAAAACGTCTGGTCGAGCAACCAAATACGAACAGAGCGAAAAATGTTATCTTCTTCCTGGGCGATGGCATGTCACTGACCACAATCACAGCCGCGCGCATACTTAAGGGACAGCGTGACGGCAAACCGGGTGAGGAGTCACAGCTCGCTTTCGAGAAATTTCCATACACCGCCTTGAGCAGAGTGAGTCTTCACTCATCTTTCTTTATAATCACAGCTCAGTCACTAAACACATTCCGCTATTTTAGACATACTGCACCAACGCTCAGGTGGCCGATTCCGCTTGCACTTCCACCGCTTATCTCACGGGCGTTAAGACTAACATTCTTTCGCTGGGCGTTGGTCCAAAGGTGAACTACAATGACTGTGAAGCCTCCATGGATCCGGCCAACGACCTCACTTCACTTTACGATTGGGCGCAGGCAGCTGGTAAATCCACCGGTTTCATCACCACCACCAGCCTCACACACGCCAGCCCATCCGGTGGTTACGCGCATGTCGCGAATCGCTTTTGGGAGTCTGATACAGACGTGCGCACTTATCTCGGTGACAATTACACCACCAATTGTGTTGATATAGCCACGCAACTCATTACCGAGGAGCCAGGCCGTAATTTGGATCTGATAATGGGCGGAGGTATGGGCAAATTTTTGCCAAAAACTATGATCGACAAATTCGGCAATCCAGGTGAACGGTCGGATGGCAAAAATCTACTCTCCGAATGGCAGCGCCGCCACCCGGGTGGTGTGCTGGTCAGCAATCGCAAACAGCTGCAGGCACTCAACATTAACCAAACCACCAGTGTGATTGGGCTTTTCCAATCAAAGCTGATGAATTACCATCTTCATGCAACGGAAGGCGAGCCGACCTTGTCCGAAATGACAGAGACGGCCATTAAATTTTTGAGTAAAAACGAAAACGGTTACTTCGTCTTCATCGAGGGCGGTCTGATCGATTACGGCAATCACAAAAACACACCCGGCATCACTCTGGATGAGACAATAGAATTCGAGAAGGCTGTGGAGTTGACGCGCAACTTAACCAGCACCGAGGACACACTCATTGTAGTGACGGCCGACCATGCACATCCGCTCAGCATATCCGGTTATCCCGTGCGGGGCAACAATATTTTGGATATCAACAAGATCAGCTACGATCGAAACGGCGTGCACTATGCGACGCTCAACTACGCAGCCGGTCCTAAACAATATCTGGATGAGAGTGGCAAGCGCCTTGAGTTGGAGGGTCAGTTTGGCGATGCCGGTAAGTCCTTGGTTGCTCAATTAACTTCCGTCTTACATTTGTTTGCGTAATTCACTTATCAAACTATTTTTTCTGTAGATTTTGTCTTCCCCAGCTACATCTCCACAGATGACGGCGTTCACAGTGGCGAAGATGTCGTCGTGTACGCTTCCGGACCATGGCAGCATCTATTCGGTGGTGTGCTCCAACAAAACACCCTACCCCACCTTATGGCATATGCCGCATGCATTGGGGAGGGCGCTAAGTCCTGTGCCGATATGGCAGTGCACTCATAAACGAACACACATATATACGTACACACGTTAGCAGAAAATCAATTCACTCATTTAACGTGCCCATCAACAGCGGAATAACTACCAACTCTTATCTCCACCAAACCACCAGCACGTGCCTTAATTATCAGTTCCTAATATCTTGAATTTCACTAACGGGTTGGCCACATAATCTGGGAGATAGCGAGTGCCAAGAAGGTGTTATTTATGTAGACATGCATGTATGTAAAAATAAATGAAAAGCTTAGCACTTCCCTGCGGAAAAAAATATTAATTGATTAAAAATACCCAACTTTTAGTTAGCTTTTTTTTGCGGGAGTTCAATAAATAACTAACTTCTAAGCAGCTATGATAAAACTAACTTTAAATTAGTTGTAAAGTCGTGCAGGAGTCATGCAGACATTATCGGGAGTTTGTTTTCTTTACAAGCTTCCATTTAAATATCCTCCTACAAAAAATACTTTCAATACACTTTCTTTCTTTCTGTACTTCACAAACTCTTTTTCGAATTGAGAACAAATTATGTCCAGCGGAGTACGAATATGGGACCACCTACAGCAGAATATGTATGTAAACAATTATGAAGTGTAATAAAATAAAAATAAAGCAAATAATTAAAAAAAAAAAATGTTTTGTTTTTATTATTAATATTTAATGAAACATAGAAATATAGTTTGCTTTCCTCAAAGGAAATATACCGATAATAGTGACATTTAGCTCTTTCCTAATCAACTTCAATTTAGATACATTTCCCGCAGGGTTTTAACAAATATGAAAGCGAACCTACAGTTGTGCTGGAACTGTAGTCAATTAACCAAACCAAGTGCAATAGTTGTATTTTTATGCCTTTGACTGTACCTATGTCTTACATATCGCTAGCTTAGAGTGAAAATTTGCTAAGTCCATTTTTTATGAAAACTCATATTTTGATATAGGAGGCTAGAGAAATTGAATACGCATAGTTTCGAAAATTATAAAGGTACTTGTTTTATTTTTTCCTCTTCATAAGCAATAAAAGAAGCATAAGTCCAAAAGAAGCACCACAAATCCGATAAGGCCAAAATAATACGACATCTTTTAATAAATATCGAATCCTTCTGATTCTTATGGAGTTTTGCTTTGCTTTAAACGCGCAAAATGTTTGATTCAAAGTCTTGCGAAATAGTTAAAGAAAATGGCTATAGGAAGATTTTTTCCTCTCCTGTAAAATTTTTAAAATGGGACTTAGCAACTTTTCTTTCTAAGCTAGCGATATAATAATTCTCTCGAAGTCTTATTATTTTTTTTATATACATATATATGAAGTCCCAAATTCGACTTTATTGGAAGCAAACATTTTGTTTTATCATAAGTTGGCAAGTATCCACAGTGCATAACGGGAAATTCGTTTTGTTTCAGTTCGTTATTATAGCTTCGCTTTATTGCTTCCAAAAACTGGTGATTACATTGTTTCTATACTATTGATAGCACACTGCCGATTTTTGTTTACACAAGTGCAGTGATTGTAAAACAATTAATAAAGTTTCGATAACATTTATTGTGGATAAAAGGTTGATTAAAGGTGTAGGTGTGAGCATACATATATTACTGGAAATAAATATATGTATGTTGAATGTGGTATTTTGTTCAGATAAAAATTCATTGCCGCACGTGAATGTCTGGTGCGTGGTAATTTTTCCAATGTCCAACTTCTATTAAGATTATAAATAAAATTTTATCCGACATATTTATACTGTAGTTTATGGCTTTTTGTAAAGTGTTTTATATCTGCGTGTCAATGTTTATGAAATCAGCTATCACTTTTTGCCTAAACGATGTGTTTTTTTTTTTTCTTTACGCTGGAAAGTGCAATTAAAAGGAGGGAACTGTACAATATTTGCTACAATAGAAACAACATGATGACAGAAGACAAGTGCTGTGTTATCGTATTTATGTAAATATGTAATGTAAAAATGGGCTTCAAAGTAGAGCAAAGGGATAGCTATTGAACAGATGTGCAAGTCTCCGTTCATATGTATGTTTATATGTAGTTATATTGAACAAAAAAGAAGAAGAAAGAAATTTTCTGATCAAAGCGTGAAGGCGAAGCCCCTATACCATAAACTTTTGGCTGCCAAAATGGAGTGCTTGCTATCCAAAAGATGTACTCAAATGTGAGTTTGCAAAGTTTTGTAGATCAAACTACAAAAAGACTTTAAAAGAGCAAAAAAAAACTTTTAAAACGTTGAAAATGCGTTGAACTTATTTTGCTGTATAAGTGAGGATGTGGGCATTCGCGATATAAGAAGACATTCGATGACAGTTTCGAAGAAAAAACAGACCAAAATAGAGAACGTTGAATGACATGGAAGATGGCACACTGCCGAAACCGGTTGGTCTCCAAACCAAATTTGACAAGCGATGGCAGAAAATCGTTCAACAATACATCATATATATTTTTCTTTTTCAAACAACAAAATCACAAAAATTTAATGAAAATAAAAATAAGAAAATTAAATTGAAAAACAGAAGAAAATAAAATAGGTTCCTAAAAATTAAATTAAATTAAAAAGAATGTACATATATTTTTCTTTTTAAAACAATAAAACCGTAAAAATAAGAGGTAGTTCAGTATAAAATGGAATTTTAAAAATAGAATAAGTCTTTATAAATTAAATAATATTAAAAAAATATATTTTTATAAAAATAAAATCCAAAAATTAAAATGAAATTAAACTTAAATAGCTTAATCTTAATTAACTTTAATTAAAAAAAAAAAAAAAAATCCGCTGCCCGAAAATTCGAACCTCAGATCTTTCTAATACAGCGACGGGCAGAGAGAGTTTTTACTCTGCGCGCGTCGAAATTTATAGAAGACTTTCGTGCCAGAGTGAACAAAATCTTACAAGCTATCTTGCCTACGGTCTTTCAGTAGTGTCACAAAAGACTTTCAACTGTCTTAGCCAGAGTTGCCCTGTAAATCCTAACATTTCATATAGTAAAGTGTATTTTTTATTACAATAACTAAGACATGCCCATCTGGTCGATTTCGCCTACTTTTAGTATGAACCAGAGCGTTTACATTTCCATTACGATTAGTAATCGTTAATGTTTTTGCGGTTTTTAATTTTAATGATTATTTTAATTTTCTTACATAACACAAAAATTAATAATAAATTATAATTAATAAAAAACTTTCAGCGTACAGAGTTTCATCTTGATAGGTCATCGTAAAAACAAGTTATCGAGTGTTTCCCATATAGATTGAGCGTTTGAACCAACGTTCGGCTATGCCGGCCGAAATATAAAAGCTCAATAAACCCCTAAGATTATAAATTAATTTAAACTGAAAATATTGCTGTGGGCGGAGCCGCTGTATAGATCTAGCATTTAAATATAATTTTCTAGCCATATACCTGCCTGCCAGCATCTTAAGCCCTCCGCACTTCCTCTTATCTTCCTCTTGAAAGTGATCGTCAGTTCGCTCAGAGAGTGCTTGATTTCTTTGAGTTTGTTTGGAGTAGTGGTTCCCAAATTCTAGTAGTTCCCCAGTTTCTTAAATTTTTTCGTTTCGGAGAATTTCCTTAGCCGTCTTTTTTGGTGTAAACTAAGGCATTCCAACCCGGAGCACCTTAACAATCCTGGGATTTAGGGATGCAAAAATCTCTTATACCGGGATGCCGGGATTTTTCGGGACATCGACTTTATTACAATTTTTACAGTTTGCAGTAGGCTCACCGTTCTCAGCAGTCGAAAAGAAACCACACAAATTCACTGTCACCACATTTAGTTTTACGCGACCGTAATTTAATGTTAAAATATTTGTTTAGTATTCTTAAATATCTATATTAACTGCAAAAATACTTCCTCATTTTGGCAGAAATTCAATTGCCACTAAACCATGCCAACAAAATAAAATGAAGAACAATTCTGTCACACTGTAAAAGTGTCTTGTGTTTTTAATTGCTGCCAGTTGTTTCATTTTTGCACAGTTCTTGCAGATCTGAAAGTCACTTCCGAATGCAAATAAATCAAGTTCAATTTGAATGCAAATTTTGGTGTTCTTTATTTCTCGTTTTTCATGTCAAATGCACGTGAATGCATTTTTTCGTTTTCAACAGCACTTTTGCTTTGTAAATAAATCAGAAAAAGTCTCGGGGTCCCGAAGCTGTAATCCCGGAAAAGTATCCACGATCCCGGGATTTGATGCACTAATGAAAATACACATTAAGTGCATATAAAATCTATGCTATTTATGTATTTTAGATTAACAGCAACCTTCATTCAAAAAAATACAGCGCCCGCCAATCTTAGATAAAACTTCATATTTAGTACATACTAGGGCTATTCGCGATTCGGTGCATAAGAGCTGACAAATTTATGCAATTGCAGAAATATGCCATGGATTGTGAGCGACCTTTATTAAACTGTCATGGTAAAGCTTTTGCAAAACAATTTTTGTGCATCAGCTTTGGTTTTGTTTATGAATGCAATGCATAGCATTTTTATGCTATGGATTTTCGGTATTGCAAATTTGCCAAGCCATGACAAATGCAAATGCGTGTATTTTGTTTGTGTATTGCAAATAATTTGCAATACAAATTTGCAATGCAATGATGCTAGGCCATTTGCACCGGATCGCGAATAGCCCTAATGTGTTAAGCTGACTTTATTAATTTGTTTTTTAATTTCAATAAATTCGCACGTACCGACGAATTTTGTTCAGAGATAATGGGCCGTATGCATAAAAACTAAGCAATTGCTATTTCTTAAAATTTCATACCTTTCACCTAAATCGAGTTTGAAGTTTTAAGAAAAAGCATTTGCTTAGTTTTTATGCATACGGCCCAATATCTTTTTATTTTTAGTCCACTATGTATATATGAAGAAAGTGTTTTATATATACACACACATCTATATATAAACATACATATGTATGTAAATTACATCGTATCAAATTTTATCGATTTTGTACAAGCATTATATCGTATAATTGCAGGAGCTTTAACACTTTTCAATTTATGAATTATTATCACCAAATTAAATACTTAAATGAAAGCCAAAGTCATAAAGATAAATTGAAAATTTGTTACCCGGCATCTGTCGTCCGGCTAAGAATGGACTACAATCTCTAATCGGCAGCATATAAAGCAATTTGCGAAATTCATTTAACTAGTGCTAACCATCTAGTGGAGGAAGCGTGACCAGAAACTCCAGCCCTAATTTTGCTAGAAAGACGAAACATCACAGATTTGAGAGAAATGCTGCACTTCAGCATGAAAACAATCGCTGCGCTAGTGCTGGTGGCCGCGGCTTATTCTGTGGACAGCTCTTGTAAGCTTCAAATAAATTTAGTAAATATTTACGGGATTCAAGTGCAGTGGCTTTTATCAATAGAAAACAAATTATTTTATTAAAATCCTCCAATCAGCTTTTATGAAAAAAGGCAGAGCATTCAGAAAAAAGATACAAATAAATGCAACGTTAAGAGCTGTATAGAAAATTCTTTAAAGCCACTGATAATTATCTAGAAAAATGTCTAGAGGATTTGTTCCCAAAAATAATTACAAAAATTTAAATTTTACATGCCTCTTAAAAAAGTACGGTAAAATTAAAATGCATGGAACACTTTCAGCTGACCTCCATACGCCGCCGTCATCTACTTCCAGGAGCACCAATGTTATGGCAGGCTTAGGCATGCCTATTACCAATGAAATCGTGCCCACAGAGGAACTGGATCCAAATTTTTGGCGAAATGCAGCAAATGAAGAGTTACAGAAGCGCGTCCAGAACAACCAACCAAATACGAACAAAGCGAAAAATGTTATATTTTTCCTGGGCGACGGCATGTCTTTGAACACAGTTACCGCCGCGCGCATACTCAAGGGACAGCGCGAAGGTAGACTGGGCGAGGAGTCACAGCTGAGTTTCGAGAAATTCCCATACACCGCCTTGAGCAGAGTGAGTATTCACTTCTTTATAATCACAGCTCACTAATTAAACATATTCCGCTATTTTAGACATACTGCACCAACGCTCAGGTGGCCGATTCCGCTTGCTCTTCCACCGCTTATCTCACGGGCGTTAAGACCAACATTCTTTCGCTGGGCGTTGGCCCAAATGTGAACTTCAATGATTGCGAAGCCTCCATGGATCCGGCCAACGACCTCACTTCACTTTACGATTGGGCGCAGGCAGCTGGTAAATCCACCGGTTTCATCACCACCACCAGCCTCACACACGCCAGCCCGTCCGGTGGTTACGCGCATGTCGCGAATCGCTTTTGGGAGTCTGATACAGACGTGCGTACCTTTCTCGGCGACAATTACACCACCAATTGCATTGATATAGCCACGCAACTTATTACCGAGGAGCCAGGCCGTAATTTGGATCTGATAATGGGCGGAGGTATGGGCAAATTTTTGCCAAAAACTATGATCGACAAATTCGGCAATGCCGGTGAACGGTCGGATGGCAAAAATCTACTCTCCGAATGGCAGCGCCGCCACCCGGGTGGTGTGCTGGTCAGCAATCGCAAGGAGCTGCAGGCACTCAATATCAACCAAACCACCAGTGTGATTGGGCTTTTCCAATCAAAGCTGATGAATTACCATCTTAATGCTTCCGAAGGCGAGCCGACCTTATCCGAAATGACAGAGACGGCCATTAAATTTTTGAGCAAAAACGAAAACGGTTACTTCGTCTTCATCGAGGGCGGTCTGATCGATTACGGCAATCATTACAACACGCCCGGCATCAGTCTGGATGAGACAATAGAATTCGAGAAGGCTGTGGAGTTGGCGCGCAACTTAACCAGCACCGAGGACACACTCATTGTAGTGACGGCCGACCATGCCCATCCGCTCAGCATCTCCGGCTATCCTGAGCGTGGAAATGATATTTTAGGCTTAAATGAGATTGGTTACGATGTGAATGGCGTACATTATGCCACATTAAATTACGCTGTAGGCACTGAGCAGTACTTGGATGAAAATGGCAATCGCATTGAATTGGAAGGAAAATTCGCTGACACTCCAGGTAGATGTATCATTGCGGTTGGTTGTCCTGACATGTAAATTTTGGTTTTGATTTATTTTCTGCAGATTTTACTTTTCCAAGTTATATTAAAGGCTCGATAGGCGTACATGCTGGTGACGATGTGGGCGTATACGCATCGGGGCCACATGCCCATCTCTTCACTGGCGTCTTGCAGCAGAATACGCTGCCTCACCTAATGGCTTACGCTGCTTGCATTGGTAATGGCGCAAAGTCTTGCGCTTAAAGGGCCTAAAGCTGAATATAATAATAATAAAACGTCAATATATTTCCTTGCGTAAATGAAATCAAAAGAAGTTCATTATAATTTTTACCTTTAGTAAGCGACTTCAAAAAAAGGAGCAGGTTACCAAATCGACGGAATATTTTTTTTTTTTTTTTTTATGCATATCACGGCATAACTTTGGACAGTTAATATGCACAAAGCAAACTTTTTCCAATGTTTTGCCAGTCTTTAAGAAATTCTTATTCCTAAATGGATCTACAATACTTTCACAACATTTTTTCCAAGGTTTGATTAAATGTTGAATAAATTTTGAATTCAAATTGATATCTAAGCTTTTCTCAAGTGAAGAACTGAAACTATTTTGCATACCGAAAATTTGCCCTTTTTCCGGCCCTCCAATTGGGGTACATTTTAAGACCAACATTGAAAATTGAAATATGTATTGGATCTCTACTTGCCCTCCAACCCAAATAATTTTTGGGTATTGACGAGCAAAAATTTGCTTGAGCATCTTACGTTGCGTGCTTTTAGGCACTCTAGTTACACGCTGCTACAAAAAAAACAAAAATCACGAAATACAACCGAAACCAAACTTACAGTTCTATTCTAACAAAATCAAAAAACTCAGCGCAACACTAATGCCCCCTTGGACAAATATGCCGCTAGAAAATAATTTTTTAAATATTTGTGCATTTCTTTAACATTTAAAATCTAATTTTTGTGGCATATTTTGAGGCGCAGTATTCAAAATTCGGACACTGCATTTTCCATATTTGAAGGTGTTTCACGTCACTGAATCTATACAAAACGGCCCACTCAATCATAAAATATTTATAAATATTAAGTGCTCGTTACAATTTAAAAGTTACGAGATTTCGAATAACGGTTCAACTCTCTATGGTACATAAAACGCTCAATTCCCGAGCTTAGCATTAATATGAAAAATCAAAGACTCCCCCGCATTAAGAAAAAAACTCCCCTACAGATATATGTACTTTGTATGCATGCTTAGGGAATTGTGGAACATTTTTTTCTTAAGCAGAACTATTTCGCGCGGACACCTACCCTCTAACACGCACTCGAAGTTTCGCCTCCAAATATATGTAAAAGCACATTCATAGTCGTCCACACATTTATGTAAAGTGTGCATTTTTACACTTTCTTTTTTTATTTTTGTGCTAAAAAAAAAAGTTTTATGGCTCGCATTCGCGCGCAAATTCGCACTCAGTTGGTATTTACTAACATATCTTACGAACACACACACACACAGCTGCGCATAAAACAACAAAGGTAAATATGGATGTATGTGCCAACGTGCTGCGGGCCACCGGCTGACTACTAAACTGGCCAGTGCAAAAATATTTGCATAAATCGTAGCTTTTATGAGCCTTTAATGCACTCGCACATACACATTTACACACATGTTCCCTTGTGTGTGTAGACGACGTGAAAGGGTAACTATATGTATATACGATTGTTTGTAAAATTATGATTACACATACATATTGCTTTCATGTGGATTCACGCATTCAGAAATGCAACTGCCAACTGGAGAAAAAAATATGTATAGCTCTGATATACAAACGTACATATGAACCGAAGAACCTATTGAGCCCTAGTCTTCTTCTTTTTTGGCACTGAAGCCGTTGAAAAAATGCGCAAAGATTTTTTTATGAAATATTTGACCACTCATTACTTCTTTATTTATCCATCGATTTTCTTCATTAGTAACTTGATTTTTTTTTTTTTTTTTGTAACAGAACAGGCTTTAGCACAAAGGTAAAAATTTGACACAGAACCTGTTATTTTTTTAATTTTTCTTCTATGAAAGTGGTTTTTTTTTCATAAATTTTTTCATAAAAAAAAAAATTTAAAAATCTGGAATGATTAATTAATTTGTCAGAAACTATCAGATCTATCGAAAAATGATGTAAGTATATACGGTCTATGTAGAATTTCATTTGCCGTATTTCACATTAAGATTGTTGAATTGGCTCGTACGATATACGCAATTAAGTTAAACCACTATTTGATTTACTTTTTGAAGTTTATTTCTAAATTAATAAGGAGTCGAATGGCTTGATTACCGTGCAAACCTGAAAGATATAAATGATCTCCTTCCCATTAAAATGTACGGGCTTTCATGGGCTTTCATATAATATGTAGAGAGAGTAAGATTAGAGAGAGGATTATTGAGAAATCGAATGCAAAAAAGGGGTGAATGCATATTTCAAAGTCCGTCAGAGTCCCAGTGTGAATGCAATGAAATTTAATGCATTAAATCAGCACCGCTAGCTAACTGGATTGCTCCCTGCAGGAGCATTTTGCCCAAATGAGGTGCGCATGAGCTTTGGGCGTTTTCGTATATCATCCCACCTAAGCACTTGCAATACTTCTCTATAAGTTTGTGTTTATGTGTCTAGGCGTATGGCTTGTAATTCGAATTGCAACGCTGCAATTGACATTTAGCATATTTATATATATGTGAAAGTAAATGAATTGGACTATGCTTCGCCGCCGAAAGCGCTTTTAATTGACGTTTATTAACACCAAAGCCTCAAAGCTGCGAACATTTGACTTTATAATCAACATCCAAATCTGGCACTGAGCCATAAAAATGTTGGCATACGTGTAGTAACTAATTGACACACCTGCCACCGCAGATGTGGCAGCCAAAAATGTGATTACGAGCGAATAAAAATATGTGCAAATAACTACACCCCCATTTTTTTTTTTTTTTTTTTTTTTTTTAACCCAAATGCAGCGAAGGGCATGTATACATACATACATATAATACATATATATGCTTTATACGATATATTTTTGCTGCATTTTACTACATTGTTGTCACCCACATGTACCTACATATTTATGCATGTATGTACATATGTACATACGAATGTGAAATTCGCTGCTGGCACTCGGTGTCCGCGTGTTGGCCGCGCGTATGTCCTCGAAGCGCAACTAAATGTCATTCATCAAAAATTCCGTGTAGTTACTGGCAATCAAAATAAAACTAAAATTCTCATTCGCGCCTCTGCTCCTGCCTTGGCGTATCAAAATTTCATAGTTATTTCATCAACTTGGAGCCATTCCTCCCTCTTCTCTCTGCCTTCTCTAGGCAACGCATTACTTGCACCCTGTTGTACTTTTCAAAATAGTTATTTCCGCTCCACAGCTGTACCACTTCCGGCTCAATTCGCTCGGCATGTTGCAGAGCTGAACAGCTGGTGCAGCAGCATTTTGGCCGGACGGATTTTGACTACGTTATACTGCCGCTACTTAGATTAAAATTAGAAATTATTGACCTGTGCTGGCCGAATGCCGGAAAGCTTCAGTGACTACCACATGGGTCGGATTGCAAGGGCTGCGCTGCGCATTGTTTGACTTGCCAGTTGGAGAACTGTTTGTGCAGGCGGCGAAATTGTTACCGTATATCTACATATGTATGTATACGAAAGCGATCATACGTAGTATGTGATACATATGTACGTATGATTATACTTTCATCGAAAGCAGCAAAAGCTTTTCGTTTACATACGTCTGTTAAATTCTATCAGATAGTTTAGAGATTGATAAAAATATTGCATGCGATTCGTTCGCTCTTGCGATGTTGCATTGAACGATATGAACTTGCTCTCTCTCTTTTAATTTATTTATGTTAATTGGTTGACGAATAGCTTCATGTATTCTTTGCTGGATAACAGGTGACTTCTGTTAGCCCCAACACTCTGCTCAAGCTCTTAAGCAAAAGCATGGCTCAAAAACTACGTTTCAAACATGACTTCGACGAACAGTTGCCCAATTCGTAGTCTACTACTCTTTAAACAAAACGCTATTGGATCATCCTTTAGGGTTTCTTGTCCCATTAGCTTCGGCAGGAAGCAATATCCTCCGTGATGGGGATAGAAAATCTCAAATCCCAAGAAAGCACCGTTCAAACTAATTAAATTAAGCTTTTCTACAGCCCACTGGCAAATGTTTAGCTATGTTCCGTCTATTTAGAAAAATATTAAAGTATGTAATGAACCCCAAGGTGGGTGATGGGGAAAATATTTATTAACTAGTACATTGCCGAAAAATATTAAGTAGGCCAATCAGTCTGTCGTCCTGAAAAGATTCGCGAAATTAGTGAACATCCATTCAAAGCTAGGCAATTTAGGAATTTTTGTTTTTTTTTTTACATATACCATCTATACGTATGAAACAACGCCATTCTAGTACTCAGCAGCGATGGAGTCAAAGTTGTCGCGCACGTGGATGATATATATATATATATATAGCTCACGAGTCATAATTGCACCTCCTCTCCCCTTTTATAAAAGTACGTTTCTTACGGCTGCTGCCAGCAAAAGTGCTGGTGAAAAGTTGCTAAGTCCATTTTTAAAAATTTATTTATTGGCATCTTCTTCAAGTATTTGGCAAAACTTTGAATACAACATTTTGCGTATTTTAAGCAAAGAAAATTTCTAAGCGAATCAAAAGGATTTGATGTTCATTAAAAAATTTCGTATTATTTTGGCATTATCGAATTTTGCATGCCTCTGTTGGACTTAAGTAGCAAATTTGCCTTTCGTTGAAAATAAAAAAAATTAAACCAGTACACAGCTAAATCCTCTTGGATGCATTTTTAATTTGTTTTGTTTTTTTTCCCTATATCAAAATGTGGGCTTTCATAAGAAGTGGACTTGGCAAGTTTTCGCTCTAAGCTTCCGATATATGTATATTTACATATGTATACTTTCATCAAAGTTTATTTTAATATTAAAATAATCTTAAGATAAGCAAGAATGAGCTAAGTAAACCATTAAATGCTCATTCACACAAGCATTAACATTGCATACACCTATATATGTACATATGTATGTACATATATATATAAAAATTTATTTATTTATAATCGTATGTAAATACGCCAAACTAAGCACCTACAACCGCCTCAACGTTATACAATTGTAAAATCATGTAACCTTATCAATTCCCCCCACATTTTGAGTGAA